GCTTTTATTGTGAGAGTAAGATATTTCCTTATATATTTTTTAATATATTATTTATTGAACTTTATTTTTTACATTGATTAATTTTTCATCTTTTTGATGTCCTTTATTAAATGTACTGAATGCACTGATTTTAGTAATGTAGACCAAATGTAATAAACTTTCACTTTGCGAATGTATAATTTCTTTTTTGGTTCATGATTTTTGTTTATAAATAAACGAAGTCTACAGTGACATGTGTATGCAACTTCCATGTTACAGCAAAATGCACAAGCATCTGAACATCAACGCACACACCACCTTATATATATAGCGCTAAAACAGATGAATTCAAACATAGAAAAATTAATTTTGCTATCATTTTCATTGTAAACTATCTAAATTTGGAATATTAAAACAGACACCTAATAATATTTCTTATTAACACTTTCATGAAATAAATATATACATATAGATGTGTTTAAATGCACCATCAACACACGTTGCACATGCTACTGCACATATACGCACACACCACCGTATTCAAAAACTGTGGTCCACAAAACAAAACAAACAAATACTACTCTACCAGTAATTTTCTTTCAAAACAGAGAAACAACAGGCATCCACCCCCACCCCTAACAATAAATGTTGATATAAAATAACGGGCTCAAAATTGTCAAGTTCCCATTCCACATTTCGCACACGCTATAGCAATTACATGCACACACCACCCTATATTAAAATTGAAATTTAATAAATTGAAACAGACAGCTCATACTATTTCTTAGTAACACTTTCATGAAAAAAAAAATACATATAGATCCGTATAAATGCACCATCCACACACTAAACGGATCGTAATTGACAGGTCCCCATTCTACAATTTGCACACGCCAAAGCAATTACATGCACACACCAGCGACTACCATGTTCCCTAATGGTTTAGAAAAATATTTTTCTTATTAGATCAAAAACCTACCTGCGTGCACTTCACATTACAGAACAAATTTTTAACTTACACGCAACGTACCCGGTCTATGGTGTTGCACACGCCTTCACTAACTAATGCACACACCTGTAGTCGAAAATCACACACAAAAAAAAAAAAAAAAAAAAAAAAAGTCCTTGAACACATACCTCTATCCATTCACAAGCTTAAAACTGATTTGGCATGCACCCTCCTCTGCGCACGGTAATGTTGATGCAACACTACAACAATATTATTACAACTTATTACCATTATTATATACCCTAATATAATTCTAAAGATTCCAAATTAATTCTATCCAAAATTAACCACTCTACTACAATTACATTATTGTCCTTCTACTATAAAAATATCCTTACTTGCTATATATTTGTCATTCAATCACAACCATCCTTTTAGAATGAATTGATGGATAGGATGAGGTCTCATGATCTCATTTATAATAGGGATCTCATGGGATCCGGAGCCTATATATATATATATATATATATATATATATATATATATATATATATATATATATATATATATATATATATATATATATATATATATATATATATATATATATATATGTATTATATTTCAACGCGTTGGAGTGGGTTACCAGCATCTCTCGCTGAACAGATATATTTGGCTTTCAGGCACAGAAGAGTAAGTCACTGGAGCGCGCTAGAACTTGGAGCGTAGAAGTAGATAGTTTTCCTTTCAGCCTGTGTGCCATGTTTATGCGTTTACATTATTGAAGATATTAGTTAGTTAGTCTGTGCACCTGAGTTCTCTAGCTCAGGTGTGGCATAGCACCCCGTACTCTTGTATTATGTTTTGGGATTTAACGAGATTTCACCTTTATTTTATAAGTTTTAAAATGTTATGAAATTTCGGGGTGTTACAATTGTCACTACGTAGAATACAAATGGGTTTACCAAATTAAGTTTGTATTTCAACACAAAAATTTTGGAAAATCTGGAATAACTTAGAACGATCTTTTATAAGGAACACCCAAGTACACCTAGAATAATCATTCGTAAAATTAACAAAGTAACGAAACCCAAAAGCAGAATTGACACGACATGGACCCCAAACATTAGTATGAACTAAATAAAAAAGAGACACAGCCCGATTGTTGTCTCTCCATGGAAAGGACTTACGTGATTACTTTCCAAGGTGACACGACTCACAATCTAATCACTCTATAGACAGACCTGGAACTTCCGTTGAAGTTTGGAGAGACTAGGGTGACCCAAACGACTATGGAGAAGCATGTGAGAATCTGTGGAAGCACAGGCAACAAGATCACCAAGGTAATAGAGGCATTGTGACTCAATCCGAGTGCCAATCACCTTCCCCGTACGGCCGCCTAGTGCCTAACTCGGCCGACTTGGCCGCCTAGTGTCTAACTTAGCCGATTTAACTCGTCCATTTCGATCGAGTTAACCCGATCAGCTCGGCCTTGTCAATTTTTTTCATTATATATATATATATATATATATATATATATATATATATATATATATATATATATATATATATATATATATATATGTGTGTGTGTGTGTGTGTGTGTGTGTGTGTGTGTGTGTGTGTGTGTGTGTGAGAACCTGGTTGGCCCGATCTTCTCTTCACACTCCAATTACAAAAAATATTGTAGGATGGTTTATTCGGTTGGTGAATTTGAATTGAAGGTTTGATTTAGGTTGGGAAAAGGGCTAATTTTTTTTTTTATTTATATAAGTCCTCGACCATACCGGGTTATAAGGTGATACATAGGATAAGAATGACGCCACAAGTGGGGTTTTACACTTGATAAGTTAGGTTTGCCATGACCAACTCACAGCCGAACTCATTCCGAGTTCCAGAAAACACTCAATTTTCTAATTCAAAAATTCTCAACTCTATTTTTATTCATATAAGACAACTGTATTTATAGTTGTAGAATCCTAATTTCGTTGGACACTTCCCAAAATAACTAGAAATTCTAACAAACTACAAACAAACTAATCATGATAAACATGAATAACAAATAATAAAGAAACCTAAGATAAAAAAAGTCTTAAATTTAATTTAATACTAACTAACAATAAACAATATATTTAAATTCCAAATTAACTAACTAAATAATTAATATAATAATTTCCTAAAAACTAATTAATTTAAAATTATAATACCACCATAATTTATTAACAACTCAATCATGGATGACTCATGTATTCACAACATTATTCCCTCCCTCATTAGAGAGATTCGACCTCGAATCTATGATCCAAGTGCTGTTGAAGTTCGCTACAAATCGAATATTTTCTATTGAGCGTTCTTGAAAATATGGGTTGTCGTCGATGGGGTTGTTTTTCCTGCAATCTTCTCGTGCATGCAATGTAAACAAATCTTTCAATATTGTCACTTTTTTGTACTTTTTTTTGTTTTTTGTTTTTTGTTTTTTTTTTTTTGCACAACTCACTTCAATTCAACAGGAATACATAAGAAATTTGATGCAAAGTATCCAGAAATTTAAATCACATCAGAAACAACAATTAACGAAAAAAAAAAAAACCAGAAACTAACCCAACTTGTTGAATTTTCTGGAAATATTGGTATTGAATTTCGAGACCAAAATTTCCAGATATCAAGTTTAACAGGATTACGACAGGCACAAAAAATTTCAGAGCAAAACAATGAAAGAAACTATTTTTTTCTAATTTTTCAAAGTCGATCACGCAAAACTGCGAATTTCAGAAGAACTTGACGAAACTTTGATAATTTTTCTGGGAACAGGTGGTAACGAATTTTCACTCAATTTTTTCCAGATTTCAAGTTCAACAAGATTATGAAATGCAGAAAAAAATTCAGACAAAAAAAAAAAACACAAGAAACTATTTGTTTCGTATTTTCAAAGTTGACTGTGCAAAACTGCGAATTTTTGACAGACTGTATTTTTTCTACTCAAAATAATGTTTCAAGATGGATTATAACTTCTTGGAGCGTGAGAAAAACCTAGGCTCTGATACAAAATGATGCGAACCTGGTTGGCCCGATCTTCTCTTCACACTCCAATTACAAAAAATATTGTTGGATGATTTATTCGGTTTGGTGAATTTGAATTGAAGGTTTGGTTTAGGTTGGGAAAAAGGATAATTTTTGGATTTTTATAAGTCCTCAACCACACCGGGTTATGAGGTGATACGTAGGATAAGAATGAAGCCACAAGTGGGGTTTTACACTTGATAAGCCAGGTTTGCCATAACCAACTCACAGCCGAACTCATTCCGAGTTCCAGAAAACACTCAGTTTTCTAATTCAAAAATTCTCAACTCTGTTTTTATTCATATAAGACAACTGTATTTATAGTTGTAGTATCCTAGATTCGTTGGACACTTTCCAAGATAACTAGAAATTCTAACAAACTAGAAACAAACTAATCATGATAAACATGAATAACAAATAATAAAGAAATCTAAGATAAAAAAGTCCTAAATCTAATTTAATACTAACTAACAATAAAGGGTATATTTAAATTCCAAATTAACTAACTAAATAATTAATATAATAATTTCTTAAAAACTAATTAATTTAAAATTATAATACCACCATAATTTATTAACAATTCAATCATGGATGGCTCATGTATTCGCAACAGTGTGTGTGTGTGTGTACATATATACATGCATATATATATATATATATATATATATATATATATATATATATATATATATATATATAATATGACATATATACACCCGTAGACTAGTTTTATACTTTGAATCTTTGGATGATTGAAGTATTTGAGTATTTTTAATTTTTAATATTGTTTTGATGTTATGACTTATGAATTATCATTATTTCATTTATTTGGATGTGTTATTTGATTGAATGTTGAAAACAGCCTCATTAAAATTGTCAAACTGCAAGTCTGCCACTTTTTTTGCGCCCGCCTAGCGCTGCCTAAATTCTGCCTAGGCACCGCTTAGGCCGCCTAGGCGCTAGGCGTTGTCCGGGCGCCCGACTAGCGCCTAGCGCCTACTGCAACCATGACTATTAGGTAGGATTTCCGTTGTCTATGAGTGTGATCTTTGATTTAACCCATACTACTTTTGACTTGATTTTTTAACATATGCAGAAAAATAACAAAATAAAATTGAGTAAAAGAAATTAAAAAGAAAATGTAAACAATTAAAGGGCGTGACATTAGTTGGAAACCTGATCAAATGACTTAGCTTCTTTAAATTTGAAATTGGTGATATTTGTTTATCAAGAGGGCTTGCCAATTCACTTACAACATTGTTATGTGCTTTTTTCAACAATCAATCTTTCAATAACTAAAGAATTAGCCTTCGCCCTATCAACAACATAAAACCATTTATCATGTGGAACAAATAGAACATTTGAATGACAAAAGATGAATTTAAGTTACTATTCTTTAAGAGTCTTGTCACGTTTACCAAATGGATTCACTTTATACCAGAGCCATTTATTGTAGATAAGGAAATTCCTATTTAACATGTTAAACATACTTGATAAGGAAAATGTTCATGCTGCAAAAAATATGAATTACAATTAATTGATAAGGAAAATGTTCATGCTGCAAAAATTTAGCATTTCTAACAAGTACATTTAATACTTGATAATGTTATTGATACTCACTCTTTAATAATTAACTTATCGAAATGAATATTAAGTTTGCATACATACCTTGATATGGGGAGACAGTAATCCTCTTCTAAGAACAACGGAATGATCTCCCGATTGGAGTTCTTTGTCAATACTCTATATTGGTATATAATAAATAAATACATTGATATCGAATTACGAGAGAAAACCCCTTTGAATTGTCATGATAACTACCAAATTAAAATAGGGCACTCCTCCAAAAGGTTAAATGCATGTACTCTATGTTAAGGATATGTGTGTTTGATGTTGTTTATCAATATGTTGTTCTCCTTTAGAATAGCTATGTTAGATTAACTGTTGTAACTTCTTAGCTATTAGCTCTCTCTTCTATACTATTTATACCTAGTAGCTTCATATCAATAACATAGAAGTTCATTCCTTTACATGGTATCAAGAGCCTTACTCTCCTAAGAGATTATTTTTTTTACGCCATCTTGTGAGTTCATGGCTTCTCAATCGGTTGTGATCACTACTGATGTTATCCAGCTCAATGCTCCCTCCAATTTTCCAATCAAGCTCACCCCTGTCAATTTCCCTGTTTGGCAGTGCCAAATCCAATCCACATTAATCGGATTCAATCTCTTTGGCTACATCGATGGCTCGGTTAAAAAGCCAGCCATGTTTAGCAACACCGCCCAAACCACCCAAAACCCTGCACACTTAACTTGGTACCGGAAGGATCAGATCATTACTAATGCCTTACTAGGGAGTTGTTCGGACACAATCCAACCCCTTGTTTCTTCTGCTTCAACAGCGTGTGATGCTTGGCAACGGCTTGTTGCCAACTTTGCTAGTGCCTCTCGAGGACGGATTATTTCCCTCAAGACCAAGCTCACCAGAAACCCGAAAGGTGATCGGTCGGTTACTGCCTTCCTAAATGACATGCAGTCCATATCCGACGATCTTGCATTGGCTCAGTGTCCCGTTTCGGATGACGACATGGTTGTGTATGTCCTAACACAACTAGGAGACGAATACAGTCTTATTGTTTCTGCTATTCGTGTTCGCGACAAGCCCATCTCTTTGGGCGAATTGGCCAACGTTCTCACGGATTATGAACGTCACTTGAGAGAAACGGATGATGTTCGGCAGTCCCTATTGGCCACAGCGAATGCCACCCAACATAGTTTCATGGCTTCCCGGAACACTCATTGGTCTACAACCAACCGGAGGTTCCGCAACAACAACAACAATTTGAATGGACGTAACATGCATACTTGGTCGCAAAATGGCACCAACCACTCCAGTGTTGTGTGCCAGTTCTGTTCTTTTGCAGGCCATGAGACTCGTGTCTGTCGCAAATTGGCACGTTTCCTAAAGGACAATAATGTGTTTCCTGTGCAGGCAACGTCGTCCAGTCAGTCACCAACAGCTAACTCCGCGGTTATGTCGACCTCGCCGTGGATGTTTGACAGTGGGGCTTCGCACCATGCCACTCCAGATATGACTCCTCTACAAACCTTCTCGGAGTACAAAGGTCCCGATGAGGTACGCCTGGGTGACGGTGGCCAGTCTGTTGTTCTCACTTCCTCTTCCGCGCTCACTCTCCAAAATGTTCTCCGTGTCCCACAATTGCACAATAATTTAGTGTCTGTGTCTCAGTTGTGCAAAACTAATCACGTGTCGGTTGAATTTTTTCACTCATATTTTGTCGTGAAGGATCTTCAAACAGGAATACCACTTCTGCAGGGAACAAACGTTAATGGTGTCTACTACGGACCCCTCTCGAGTCAGCCCACTGTTAATTCCATGCATCTGTCACGTATGTTGCAGTGGTACCATTGTCTTGGGCATCCGTCCAGTAAGGTGTTACATCTTGTGTTACAACATTGCAATGTTCCCGTTTCTATGTCATCGTTAAATAAATTTTATTGCCAGTCCTGCAATGTATACTAGAGTCACAAGTTACCCTTTTCTAAGAGCACTCTAGTTAGCAGCAGGCCTCTACAACTAATCTACACTGATGTATGGGGGTACTTCTGACAAGTCGATTGATGGATTTAGTTATTACGTTATTTTCATTGATCATTTTTCACGATACATTTGGCTATATCCTCTAAAACGCAAATCTGATGTGTTTGTCATATTTCCCCAGTTTAAAATGCTGGTAGAAAAATTCCTTGGTTTGTCAATTGTCTCAATCTATTCTGATAATGGGGGAGAGTTTGTTAAGTTAATACCAATGTTCAATAGTCATGGTATTTCACATTTTACAACTCCCCCCCCCCCTACTCCTGAGCACAATGGCATGGCTGAACGGTGACACAGGCATATCGTCGAAACAGGCATGTCCCTACTTCATACTGCCTCTATGCTAACTACATATTGGTCTCATGCCTTTCAAACATCAGCTTATCTAATCAATCGACTTCCCACACCGGTCTTAGGTAATAAATCTCCTTACCATATTTTATTTAAACAGTCACCAAATTATGCTAAATTGCAACCGTTTGGCTGTCTGTGTTTCCCCTGGTTACGCCCCTATCATACAAAGAAACTCAAACCAAGGTCATCACCTTGTGTATTCTTGGGATATTCGAACACCTAGTTGGCTTATAAATGTCTTGATTTTGTCTCAAATCGGGTCTACTTATCTAGGCATGTGCGTTTTGTTCCTCACGTGTTTCCTCCCAGGGAGTTGCAGGTTGAGTCAAATAGCCCTACTAGGGATCACTCTTCTACTCACTCACAAATTCTGTTCAAACAGTCAACACCTTCCATTGCGCCGAAGCCTTCAGGTTTGTCATTCTCTTCGCCAATTGCTTCTATTTCATCGCCAGCCGTATCGGTCTCTCCAGAAAATCTTCACCCACAAGGCTCCTCGGTGTCTGGGCAATCCGACAACCAAAGTCCGGCGGCCAACGCCGACTCCGTGTCTATAGCGTCTCAGTCCTCGTCCTCCCCTCCGAGTAGTTCGTCGCCGGATGTTCCTCTGAACCTGCGTCTACCATCACCGACCTCTGAACCTGCGTCTTCTCAGCCACTCACAGCCTCCGAACCTGCGTTTTCCGAACCTGTGTCGTCCTCCGATTGTCAACCTGGGTTGCGGCGCTCTACCAGGCCTCGCCGACCTAATCCCAGGTATTGTGATTACGTTATCAATCTCATCAAAGCCCACCCCTAGCCTCCAACTATAGAGCCGTTTACCATCGCCCAAGCCCGCAAGGATGCTAGGTGGAGGAAAGTTATGGACGAAGAATTCGAAGCTTTGCACCGTAACAACACGTGGAAACTGGTATCGCGTGGAGCAGGGGTTCCGATCGGTTGCAAATGGGTCTACCGTGTCAAGCGCAAATCGGATGGCTCCGTTGATCGGTACAAGGCACGTCTTATGGCCAAAGGGTTTCTGCACACAGCGGGTCGAGACTATTTCGAAACTTACAGTCCGGTTATGAAACCAGTCACTATCCGGTTGGTCCTGACTATTGCGTTTAGTCACCGCTGGTGTGTGCTCCAGTTAGACATTAACAACGCCTTTCTGCATGACACGCTTCATGAGGAAGTTTACATGGAGCAGCCATCGGGATATGTTGATCCGCTTTACCCTTCTCATGTTTGCAGGTTAACCAAGGCTTTGTATGGCCTTAAACAAGCCCCGCGGGCCTGGTACCAGGAGCTCTCGCTATTTTTGCAGCGCTGCGGGTTCACCAAGTCTCGAGCTGATGCTTCATTGTTCATTTATTCGTCTCATGATGTAATTGTTTATTTCTTAGTCTATGTAAATGACATTTTGCTGACAGGCAATAATGTTCCATGGCTAGATCAGTTTGTGAAGACTCTGTCAGCCCGGTTTGCTCTAAAGGATCTCAGTACACTTCATCATTTCTTAGGTGTCGAGGTCACCTCTACGGCTGGTGGTATGTTCCTTTCACAAAGCCAGTACATAACTGATATACTCACACAGTTCAAAATTGATGGTGCAAAGGATGTTTCAACACCACTTGTTGTTTCAGACAAACACGTGCCACTCCAGTCCCCTGGTTCTGCGACGGATGCTACTCAGTTTCTTCGTTTGCTGGGCCTTATGCAGTACTTTGTGATCACCCGCCCGGATGTGGCCTTTGCGGTCAATCGACTCTCGCAGTTCATGCATGCGCCTTCGGAGTTGCACTGGCAAGCTGCGAAACGCCTGCTTCGTTATCCTAAAGGGACTGTTTGCCTCGGTTTGTTTCTTCGTGTTGGTCAGCCATTATCGCTACGTGTCTATACCGACTCTGACTGGGGTGGGATCAGCACTGCTGGGCGCTCTACTACGGCCTACTTGGTATATTTGGGCACCAACCTTATCTCTTAAAAGTCCACACGGCAGAAGTCTGTTTCACGATCCTCGACAAAGGCTGAGTACCGAGCCTTGCCCAATGCAGCAGCGGAGGTTCTCTGGATTAAGAATTTGCTTCAGGAGCTACACTTAACTCTAGCGCAACCGCTCGTTCTTTTCTGTGATAATCTCAGCACCACTTACGTCTGCAAAAACCCAATTTTTCACTCACGCATGAAACAGTTAGCGTTGGACTACTTTTTTGTACGGGAATTGGTTACAAGTGGTGCGTTGGTTGTTCGCCACATTCCTACTTCGGCTCAGCTAGCAGATCTTCTCACTAAGCCGTTGGGCCGTCACCTGTTTCTTCATTTTCTCTCCAAGATCGGAGTCTCCGACGGATCCTCAATCTTGCGGGGGCGTGTTAAGGATATGTGTGGTTGATGTTGTTTATCAATATGTTGTTCTCCTTTAGAATAGCTATGTTAGATTAACTATTGTAACTTCTTAGCTATTAGCTCTCTCTTGTATACTATTTATACCTAGTAACTTCATATCAATAACATTGAAGTTCATTCCTTTACACTCTGTCTACAATACTTCGCATGCATTTTCTCTTGTGATGACTAGCTTTATTCTATTAAAATTTGTACAAATCTCCAACCAAATTTGCCTACAATTCAGCGAAGAAATTAATCACTGTGTCCAATGATAAAAATTCTGAGTAAAAAAAAAAATTGCACAAATCTCCAATCACGATTATAATATAAATATTTTAATTTTGATGGAACGAATAAAACCCTTTTAAAGAAACATGATCCCAAAAATATTGTATTATACATTGCAATGAATAAATATGATTCAACTTTATAATAATATAACAAGTATTGTATGCATAATGTGCCAATATTTATGCTTAATATTAAAATACTGATAAATAAAAGTAATTAAAATTTTAGTTTAAATTATATTTTACAGTTTCTTAAGATAATGAATTTTAATCGTCGTATTTGAAAATTATTAAAAAAATTATATTTTGTTTAATAATAATGTAAACAATTTTGATAATTTTTATACTATGCTTTTACAATATATATATATATATATATATATATATATATATATATATATATATATACATAAATAATTATAATATTTATAATACTAAGTTAGTACTCACATATATTGGTAATATAAACACAAATAATATATGTATTAAATACAAAAAACATATATTATTTACCATTAATAGAAATTTAACTAAAATATATTCTACAATTAAATTAATTATATAATGATTTAAATTAAATAATAATTAAAGAATAGGAAACTGATATGATAGGTATATGTGTATGTCAATAATAATAGAGTCATCAACGTTAGAATTAAATACTAACAGAGTTATAATAGTGTAAGGATAGTTTTGTCTATTAAGAATGTAGTAGAGATAATTGTTTTCCAATAAAATTAAAGTGTATAACATTTTAAGAAAAATGTATAGTTTTCTTAGCATACAAAAAATGGACATAAATAAGGGTATAACATTGATTGAGACTTATTATGTTTTTAGATTTTTTAGTAATATCGACTCTTTTACAAGGTAATATTTGTTCAATATACTTTCTCAATCTGTTGTAGCTCAAAGAGTCGATCCTGTAACCTTCTCTAAAGGAGAGCCACCGAAATACCAACTGACCATAAGGTGTTTGGCTATTATGTTTTTAGATTAGATGTTCATTACATGGAATAATTATAATCGCTGAAGATTAAGTTGAAGCATTGTTGTTACCGAGAAGGAAGCACAAATAAAAATTGAAGACAAATAACATGTGAATTATATATGTAGATATAAATGGAGCTTTAATTTCCTTTCCCATACAATAGTGAAAATAAGACAGTACAGAACATTCAGCAAAGCATGCATGCCAAGAGGCACCATATATATTTGTATAGGAAAGCTAAGGAAGCTAGGACTCATCACTCGCAAGCGCGTCGCTGGGACTTGGTGCTGGACCTTCTACAGGTTCCCCAGGAACAAATGGTGGAAACGAAAATCCTGGAAATGGGAAATTAGGAATATTGGGAATCTCAAATCTCGGTCCTGGAAATGGGAAATTAGGAATATTGGGAATCCCAAATCCCGATCCTGGAAATGGGAAACCAGGAATAATTGGACTTCCGGAACCAGGTCTTAGAAAAGGGGGCAGAGCAGGAAAAGGAAAACCAGGAAGATTTGGAGCATCAGAACCTGAGCTTGGGGGATTAGGGAAATCGGGGATAGGAAAACCTGGTAAAGGAAAACCAAAATTTGAATCAACAGAGCCGGAGCTGGGGGGAATAGGGAATCCAGGGATAGGAAAACCTGGAAAAGGAAAACCAGGAACATTTAGAGGTCCAAAGTCTGAACTTGAGGGATTAGGGAAACCAGGAAAAGGAAAACCTCCAAAAGGAATATTTGAGGATGGAAATGGTGAGAAATCTAGTATCTTCTCATTTGACTCGCCGTTTTCTTGTTTAAGAATACGAGCATCGCAGTACCTTGTGAAGCACATACACAAGATCAAGCATACTACATATAGCACCTTCAATAGAATTTGATTCGTCATTTTCTTCAATTCTGTTTTCCAACAACACTAAACACTATACTAAATTAAGTAGAGAGGAAAAATGTTTTCACCGTAGGCATCGTTACCCATATTTGCTTATTTATATAGCCCCCCACACACACAAAATATATTAAAAATTTATAAATAAAAAGAAAACAACAATTAATGTATCTATCTAACAACTGTTTCTTCCCCAAGTAAATATTACATGTAAACCAACTAAGAATTTTGATAATTTTGTGGGAAGAATTTTGATAATTTTGACAATTTTGACTAAGTGAACGGTTACAAAGATATGCATTCAATGTATTCCCACGTGTGTACGGGATAGTCAAGATGGCATCCTAAGTACATTAATTGAGCATTATAAGCAATATAACTAAGGGGTGCACCGGATTAAAAATATATATCTACTATCTACTATACTAATAAGAGCCCAGAGAGTTATGCCTATAATGTGTAGAAAAATGACGGTCAAATCTTTTAATCAAATGAATGGCTCAGATTGATTCGATTTTAATTTCTCCTTAAGATTTCCTAATTTATCCTTAATGAATATGATTATCCGTTAACTTTTTCGTTAAATATTATCTTTTCCGTTAATTTCTATTAGTTCACCGTTAACTTACTCATTGATTTCAATAAGAAAGTCTTAGGTTCGAACCCCATCTCAATCAAAGTTGGCATAATTAGTACTCTATTTTACTCTTATCCTTAAGATTTCCTAATTTATCCTTAATGAATATGATTATCCGTTAACTTTTCCGTTAAATATTATCTTTTCCGTTAATTTCTATTAATTCACCGTTAACTTACTCATTGATTTCAATAAGAAAGTCTTAAGTTCGAACCCCATCCCAATCAAAGTTGGCATAATTAGTACTCTATTTTACTCTTATTAAATTATTAAATAATAATTATTCAGTAGCTACAACAAAAAATAATACATATGCATTACTTTAATTTAAAATTATGTGTCTACAATGTTTTTATTAAAATTTTTTTATTCATTATCAATAAATTAAATAAGAGAAATAATTTTATTAGTTATTTTGTCCTTATTTTTCTCCAATATAAAAATTCTTTACATTCAAATTCACCAATTGATTATATTCGCTACATCATCTTTATTAAAAAAAATTATTCATTATCAATAAATTAATTAGGAGAAATAATTTTATTAGATATATTGTCTATATTTTTCTCCAATGTAATTTTTTTTTTTTTTACATTCAAATTCATCAATTGGTTATATTCACTACATTATCTATTATCTTTTTTGTGCACTATTTTTTTTTAATTAAATATCAAAGTTATAATACAAAATAATGCTATATATTTATTTACCAAGTTTTTTTTTTATTAATACCATGAAAAAATTAAAAAAAATATATAATTAATAAAGTCAATCATATTAACTACTTGAGGGATTTGTTGACAAAGAGAGTATTCAAATCACACAACAAAATGAAGTGAGATTTATCTTGCAATGTCCTTGTTTAACAATAAGCAGTTAACGTTAGCGGATTATATTAGCAGATTTAACCAGAGAATTATATCAACGGTTGGTAAAAAGATATTTGAAAAAATTAGCTGTTTAGATTAACATGTAAAATGACCTAAGGGTATACATATATTTAATAATAATAATAATAATAATAATAATAATAATAATAATAATAATAATAATAATAATAATAATAATAATAATAATAATAATAATAATAATAATAATAATAGTAATAACAATAATAATAATTGTTTTAAAAAATAAAAAAATAATTAAGCTAATCTGTTGTGTAAGAAAGCTAGACAGTAGTATATAAGCAATGCATTTACACTGCCTAATGGTTGAATATGATTTCCACTCCAACACAAAACTTTCTAGTCCCCAAGTTCTAAGATTCATCTATTTATTTGTTTCTGTGCTGTCAGTCGAAGATATAACGATACCCTGGTCGTTAAATATCTTTAAGATAGTGTTGCCAAACACGACACAGAACGCTGCCGGTTTTCTGTCCCGAAGCAACAACACGTCGCAAATATCCATTCCAGGTATTCATTACTGTTAATTTACCCAACAGGTATTTGTCAGAGGCCACTAAATGCTCAAGTCCAAGTATCTAAAGAGATTGTTGAACAAATTAAAGGTCGGTGAAGAGTCAAATCCAAGACTTCTCAAAAAATTATTGTATCTTATAATAATTATTACATCAGATTATTTGTAAAATAACTAATTTTATTTTGAATTAATTATTTATTTGAAGTCATAATAATTGATACAAAATTTGAAAGAAAATACTCGATATATTTAATTTTAATTGAATTGAATTGAATGTTGACAAATCATTATACAGTGGGGATACTTTAACTTTTTGACTGATAATAACTGTAAAATTAAATTGTATTGAATTGATCGAATAATGATGG